AGATGCATCTGATATTCACAATGAAACTTTTTATTTTCGCTTGCATATTTTTGTTGTTGTTGTTATAATCAGTTTAATTTGTCTCTAATAAATTCAACGTCCGAGGTTACCTGAACGCATGATTCATTTCTCCCGCTCTCTGGACTTCCTGGTCTGTTTCCTGCTGTCAGAAACATTTTGGCTCTTTTCGCTCAAACGGGTCTTAAACCGGAAACAGCTTTCAGGTACAGCAGATATTTTTACACTGAAACAACAACAATCCTGCAGGATCGTACTGCAGATTCTGCACAGTTTGCTGCCTCCTCTGATTGTTACCTTAAGATATTCACATCTTCCTCACTTTGCAGGAAGTCAAACTGTAAAGAACATAATAATAGCAGCTCAGTTCTGTTCTGGTTCAGCAGCTCTCATTTCATCTGACAGGTTATATGAGGTTTCCAACAGATTTTATTTAATTCTCTCTTTCTTTATTTTTAATTGATTCCACATTAATTCTACATTATTCCTTCCAAACATTATAAACTTTATTATTCAGGTTTAGTGAGAATTTATTTCTGTTAAATTACAGTTCTAGTTTGGACTGTTGAATTTCTGATCACATCAACATTTAAACTGTTTTCAACAATAATTTCAGTATTTTGATATTTTGTTACTGAGCTAATAAAATATTAAACTTTTCTTGTTTCTTTGTTTTCAGTGTTTTTCAAACTTTTCCCTCATTTGGATCTTTATCTTTAAAGTTAAATAAATAAACAGGAAGTAGAAACATAGAATCTGATAAAATGCATAAAAATAAATTAAATCGATAAATGTTACTAAACTATTTTATGTTGTTTCCTGTAAACTGAAGTGAAGATCAGTGAGTGAAGCATCAGGATGAAGCTGCTGATCAGCTGATCAGATCAATATTCAATAATCACGTCTTAAAGCTGTCAGAAATAAACACATTTCATTAAAGGAAACATTTCTACATCTGTGTTTTCACATCAGAACTGAATAAAAACAGAAAGGAGGAGAAATATTAACTGTCACTGCTGAGCAGCTTGTAGTCAGAGCTTAGAGCGCCACCATGTGGACAAACACACATTGCAGCTGATCTCTGCTGAGGTAACATCATTTTACTTCCTGCTTGGATCTTCATGGATTTGACTGATTCTGGTGAACATTATTATTCTGCATCCTTGTCTTCTCAACTTTATTGATTTATTTCTGGTAAACAAATTTACTTACAATGAGATGAAAAAAGCAGCAGGAAAAGAATCATTTGAACCAACTTGTTGAACCAGATGTTGGTTTAATCAACTGACTGAAGCAGCTTGAAGTAAAGAAACACATTGTCTGGTTCATCTGTGGAAATCTTGTATGAAAAGTGCATTAATGAGTGAATGTTTACGGTGATCAGGCTGATCAGATGGCAGATATTATGGCTGTATAAATAATTAATATTTATATGATGCTATTAGTGATTTTCAACATCTGAAAATCCTCATCAGAATAAATACATCAGATGAAGATCTTTTATCTTGGTAACAATCTCCATGAGCTGATTCAGTATTTTAATAACAGAACAGATCAATGATTATCTAAGATCTTGAAAGTACAATGAATGACATCCATCTATTTTCTGACATGCTTGTCCCTAGTGGAGTTCTGGTGCCTCTCCACTAGGGGTCAGGTGGTGTCACCCCAGACAGATTGCCCATCCGTCGCAGGGCAACTCAGAGACAAACAGGACAAACAACCATGATGCAGAACCCACACAGTCACAGGGAGAACATGCAAACTCCATGCAGAAGATCTGGAATTGAACCCAGGACCTTCTTACTGCATGGCAACAGTGCAAATAAATATCCATTCTGCATATTGGCACAAGAATCAGGAGGTAAAGATTACTCTTTGTCAATTTTAGGGGATTTTGTCTGTGATCCAACATAGAACTGGATCAGTAATTTAGCAACAATGCAATGATTAGAGTGACGGATCAACCATCAGAGGAGGGATCAGAGGAGCTTCCTCTTCTTCTCATGTCTTCTCTGTGATCCTGAACTTGAGATCTTCCTGTTGAGGACACAGAACAGTCAGTCAGACAAACAGTCAGACGAACAAGAGAGCCAGAAAGTAAAGCAACCTTTCACTTTGAGACGGACTGTTTTCACTCTCCAGATAGTCCTGCTGTCGAATATGCATTTATAGTCTCCACTGTCTGCCTCTGTGGGTTGCTTCAGAGTCAGCTGAGGTCTCCAGAATCCAGCAGGTCTTCATTCATCATGGTTCTGCTTCTGAAGAACTGGGCCTGTTCTTCAGGCTTGTCAGAACCGTTTATGTTTATATGGACCATCTTGTCCAAAAAACTCCATTCCACATCGGAATCTCCCGGCAGCTGGCGTGTCGTCCTGAAATGGCAGCAGGACAGACTCCGCCCCCTCTACCACCTCCACCTGGCAGACTGAAAGAACAACAAGGATCAACATGAGCTGTGCAAAACGTTGCAACTCATTTTTAAAATGTTACTGAATGATTTCAAACTCCAGAAAAGCCACAGACAGTAAGCAAACATCAGTTTCTCTGATCAGTTTTTATCTTTTGGTTTTTTGCAGCTTCTTCTGGAATTTTCCATCATCAGAAAGAAGATTCAGCGTCAGAAAGTCAAAGACGGGACGGTCTTTATGTTTCACTGGGACTGACAGCAGCAGCAGCAGCAGCAGCAGCAGCAGCAACAATCACAGTTTTTTACTGATCAAACATAAATCCAGAACTTTTCCAGAGAATCGGCTGATGATGAATTTTAAATCAGTTGTTTAATTGAACCCTGAAGCTTCAGGAAGCAGCTGATGGATCCTGAACTCACTTTAGATTCTACTTTGGTAACAGAAGAGATCATGATCTCCAGTTCTGACAGCAAAACATTCCCACATCATGACTCCTCCACCACTGTGCTTCACAGCTGCTGTTGAAGTTTCTGCTCATGTATTATGAGTCTGTAAATAAGTTGTTGTTATTTAAAGCTAAAACTTCCCTGCTTTGGTTTTACTTTTCCTGTTGCTGTAGATTTGTAGTTCACTTTGACTATTTATTCATGAATATTTATGAATTTACTGTAAATTTATGCGACTTTATGTGACATTTTCTTGGTAACTTTTATAAACTAAATGAGGTGAGTCAGGAAGTTTTCCAGATTTTTTTTGCTTTTTTCTGATGTAAAATCATAAAGAAAATGATGAGGATCAATAAAGGATTACTGACGGCTCCAATAAGGGAAATATTGATTATTTCCATAAATCCTTGTTCTGTTGTGTCTGGCTGCTGACCCGTCCAGCTGCAGCTCACAGTCATTTTATCTTCTTTAAAATGTCCAGAATAACAAAATTATCAGTAAATGTCTCATCACATATTTACTTATTATTATAATTCAAACTCTACTTTTAGAAACTAAATGTTTTCCAGGCTGTTTTTGCTGATCCTAATCTGGACTTTTAATTTCTCCTCTTCATGTTTTGGTTCTTATTGGCAGAAATATGAGGGTTCAAATCCCACCTGAATCATTTTCTCAGTCCAGCTGCTGTTCATGTTGCAGTGAAACAACAATATCAGTTCTTATGGTTCAAACTCCAGCAGGAATCATTTCACAGAAATCCTGGAAACATTTTACCTTCAGCTGAGATCACCAGACGCTGAGTCGGCATCTTCAGAGACGAAACCGTCTTCAGTCTGAACACCTGGAGTCTGATTCATCCTCTGAGTGGGTGGAGATGATTGATTGATTGATTCATTGATTGATTGTTTTGTTCTTTGAAGCCACATAAAGAAGGTGAATTCAGATTTCACGTTTTCAATCGTTCCAAGATTTATTTTTCTATTTTCCTTGATTATTTGGAGACAATTTATTATATTGTTTGTCTTGGCGACTTTTCAGCACTAGAGGGAGAAGCAACGTTTAGTGAAAAGCTCAGATAGAGCTGATCTCAGTTCTGGAAACAAACATCTCAACAGTGAATCACCTTCCTGACAGCAAGTCTGCATGAATATGGATTTATTAATAACATGAGAACAATATGAAAATACCAACTGGAGCAGATATAAACTTTATGCTCAGCAACAAAGAGGATCAATTAAACAGCTTTAAGACCAAACATCAGAACTGATCAATGAGTCCAGAAAACTTTGGAATCAATATTTTACTGTATATTCTAGAATATTAAACATTTTTCAGAGACACTAGAGTTTATTATCTGAATATGTGAGTCGATATAATATATGATAGTTTTACTTTCTAAATTAAGTGTTGAACTTTTTAACTAAATTATAATTATTTTTTGCTCTTGTTTATTTCTAAAGTGGAATAAAAATAATATATAAACAAAGTTTCTGATGAGAAAACATTTAATGTCTCAACATACATTCATCACCATTCAGTGAATCATCACTGTTGAATGTGTCAAATGAAATAATTCAGGAACTTGACCTTCCAGTTTATATTTAGTAAAACTGCTGGTAGTATTTGAACTGTGGGCGGAGTCACGTGTTTAACTCCTCCCACGCCGCCGGAGTGAAGGTCTGCTCGGAGAAAAGCCTAGAAACTTTTCTGCCTCTGAACCTTCATGATTCTCCAGCGTTGAAATCTTATCATTTCAGAGAAATGCAAAGCTTTGCTGCTGATCTCTGCAGCTCAGATCTGAAATAACAGACTAATTATTTCTATGTGCTTCCAGTTGCAGAGAGTCGAGGAATCAAATGAAGTTTGTTGGCAACTTTCATGACCAACAGCAAACAGGAGCATTCAGCTCTGAATGCTTTGCTTTGCTTTGCTGTTGCAACTCATTCCTGAGATTCTAACGGAGCAGGAAGGGAAATACCCTCCTTCAGGACGAGTCCAGTTCTCCTGCAACACGAGGAGGAGAATGTCAGGAATGTCTGGCAGTAGGACAAAGAGGAGGAGAAACTCTTAACTTCAATAGAAATTTGTTCCCTCGACCGCCTCAAACTAGAAGAGCATAAAATAAACAGCATAACTGAAACAGTTTTGTCAGTCTGTTAGTCTAGATCTGGTGTGTCCATGTCTTGTCTAACAGTATCAAAGTCATGCAGAGACCTGGACACAAAGGCTGACGAAGCAGCAAAATGTTGAGGCTGATAAAGAAGAAAACTAACAGTAAGTTTATTACATGTTTGTCTATAATTTAGAGTTAGTTGAAAAACATTTTACTGAAATAAACATTTCCTGTGAATAAATGTAAAACACAACAGTTAAATCCTGAAACCAGGTTTTGCAGTTCATATATCTGTAATAATAACTTTTAATCTTCTGTAACTTGTTTTTATTTCTTGCAGCTGAAAGTTTTGTGTCTCTGGTTTGACACTTTTGTCCAGCATGTCTCAGGTTTCAAACTCAGACAGGATTGGTCTCCATCCTGTTCTCCTCACCACCACATGTGGAAAATGTTCAGCAGGGATTAAACTGCAGCCTGGAGAGGATTGTCAGAAAATCACTCTCTCATTTTGATGCGTTTCACAAGGATGAAGGAGTGAACTGATGCTGGATTCAGAGCAGACTCAGTTCACTCCTTCACACAGGATTTACAGAGACAATCCTAGATACAAACATCTTACCTGAAGAGAAGAACTGGACCGTAAAGTCCTGTTTCCAGAGGAAAGTAAAGTTTGTATTTCATTCAGACATTAAGGTTCTGGAGTTTAGAGGAAGAATGAAGAGAACCAGAAACCAAGTTGATTAAAGTCCAAAGTGAAATGAAAAGTCTTTTCAGGAACCTGATATCTCTGTTTAGGATATTTATGTTTTATTGGTTTTATAAAGTTTGTCTGTAAATAATAATCATCAAAATTACAAGAAGGCTCAGACAATATAATATAAATATCTTATTTAAATCTAATGGATCTAAATGACAATATTTAATAATAAAAGATTCAGAAGCTGCAGAGAATGAAAACATGTCCTGTTGTCTTTCTGCTGTATAGTTTTATTACCACAAGGTGGCAGTAATGATCTGTTTCTATATAAAGTTAATTCTGTAGCAGGAATCCAGTTTCTTTGTATTGTGATTAACTCTCATCTTCATCCTCTCTCAGGATGAAGATGATGTCCAGCATCCTGCTGCTCCTCATCCTCAGCTCATGTCTCTGTGGTCAGTCTCCATCTTGTCTTTGTGACAGAAAGCTCTCTAGATGGAGCTGAAAGACTCCCATGTTCCAGTTCTCAGTGTGTCTGCTCCTCTCTTTCCCTCTCTGTCTCCTCAGCAGCAACATTTGTAGTGAATGTGACACAGAGCAGCTATCAGGCAGAGGAGAAGCAGAACATCACTCTGGAGTGGACCTTCACCACCAAGACTCAGGGAACATGGAGGAATCTGTTCATCTACTGTGAAGTGAACACGGATCATGGAGTCTTAGTTCTCTATCATATTCATGAAGGAGTTGAGATTCCAGAGTCTCAGGATGATCAGTTTTCAGGACGAGTCCAGAGCGACAAAGACGTCCTCAGAGAAGGACGAATCAGACTCCATGTGTCCAGACTGAGGACTGAAGACTCTGGTCGGTATCTGTGTGACGTGAAAACTGAAGATGGATTCAACTCTGGAAGATGTCGACTCAACGTTACTGATGAGAAAAAACCATTAATATGTAAACAAACATTTTTAGAAACTTTCATAAATTCTGATTCCTGTATTGATGAACCAACATCTTCATCTTCTCCATGAATCCTCCTGGATCTCAGTTTCCATCAACATTAATAAATATTTCTGATTTCTCTCCCAGCAGCTGCTGATCAGATCCAAACTCAGAGACCAACTTGGACTCCAGAACCAGAGAGACAAGAATGGATGAACATCATCATCATCATCATCAACAGTGTGGGACTGACAGCAGCAGCTCTGATTTTTCTTCTTTCTTATTTTTTAGATAAATGTTTTCTACCAGTAGATGTTTATTTTAATAATGACAATGAAACAAGAGATAGTTCAATCACTTTATTATTAGAAACAGTTTGATCAGATTTAGGGGAATCTAAATTTGTTGCATCAAACAATTTGGTTGATTATTTTGAGCAGCTGAAAGATTTTAAAACTGAAACTCAACATAAATGAGCCTTAAAGAGAATTTAATCTAAGATCATAATTTATTGTTCAGTTCAGTTTTTCAGGTTTTATCTGATTTTCTTCCTTCTGTTCATGAACCAGCAGCATAGTGATGTTCTGGTTCTGGTTCTGACCCGCTGGCTGCTGGAAACAAACTCAACCAGAACCTGGAACCAGAACCCTGATCTTAGATGCTTTAAGCTGCAGCAGATGATGAACCAGTGAAGCTCTGGATCTGCTCCACTGGTTCTGGTTCTGAAGGTTCTGCTGTAAATAGTGATGAGTCTGACGACACTGAAACCTCCGCGCATGCGTCGAGCAAACAAGGCGAAGCCCCGTGTGGGTGCGCGTATCTCTTTAAGGAAAACCACGTGACCGATACAATTCCTGTGTCGTTTGGTTGTGAAGGCGCCAAATTGTATTTATGAACAGAAAATGTATCGACATGTTGGTGGGTTTTGTTGGATGGAGATAGTTTGTGTTGTTTGGCTTGTCAGTGAAAACTATGATCAATCGAGGAAGAGGAAGTTTTTCTCCCGTTTGATCATTTTGATCTTATCACGGAGAATAAGGTCAATTATTATTCCGTTCTCGTTTCCACTATTGATCATTCTTCTGTCGGGTTATTCCAATTTCTTTCTGAAGAATACTTTAATTAGTTTACGTGGATTAACTTTTATTTCTATTGTAGATTAAATGTATACAACAACGTGATCATACAACATCACGTTGTTGTATAAAATTGCACTAAATGTCGTCCTAAAAAAATCATTTTTAATACCAAAAAGGTTCAAATTGTCCATTCTTGAACCTCTTACTATATTACGCTTTACGCAACTATATTTACTTTTTTAAACCGGTTTGAGGTCAAGAAGGAAAATCCATACAGCCAATATGGACCAGCAAAAGCAAGAGAAAATTCCCTAAAGCTTTTGGGCAAAATGAAAATGCTTTAAAGTGAATAATCGTATTATATTCAAGTTTCATAAAAGGACCAGAAACTATTAATGTGTCGCTTCTCCGATGAAGGAATATTGTCTGATTTGATGAATTTATGATCTAATTGCACTTTCAATTTTTCAAGATAGAAATACGTCAGAAGGAAGAAACTGCAGCATTCATCTCGGCTGATTTGTAAACAGTTAAAAAATAATAAAAAATACAAGTCAGTTTTTTTTGTTGTTTTGTTTTCTTGGTAATTGGCCCAAAGATGTTAAAGCAGCTGATGTTTCTAAATAAAAATGTGTGAATGAACCTTGTTCAGTCTGTTTCCAGTCTTTATTGATGTTGCCTGCAATTACTTTTTAAATCCAGCAGATGTCGCCATTGAGTGAGTCAGCAACACAGTTTCAACACAGTTTGGGAAATGTGCCACACACCCAATGAGGCCTCATCTGCCCATCACTACAGTCCAGAGATCTGACAGCACCAAGTGATGCATTTAAGGACGCCTCGGACAGACTGATTTAACGAGAAACACACAGACTGAACTTCTTACTGCGGTTTTTAAGAATATGCTTGATGAGATGCATCTGATAAGTGCAATAAAACTTTTTATTTTTGCTTGCATTTTTTTTTTGTTATAATCAGTTTAATTTGTCTCTAATAAATTCAACGTCCGAGGTTACCTGAACGTATGATTCATTTCTTCAACTCTGAACTTCCTGGTCTGTTTCCTGCTGTCAGAAACAAGAAGTCAGAGAAACATTTTGCCCCTTTTAATGAATCAGTGACTCTTCATGTGTTCATAGAAGCTGTTTGATGAAATCAAGTTTTTATAAAAGAGACTCAAAGAGAAAAACAGACCCAGAGTCCTGGAGGAAAACTGATCATTTCTCAACTATTTTCCCTCCAGTTTTAACTTCAGGTTCCTCTAAAGTGTAAAACTGTCCAAAGTTGACGTGGTTCTAACAAATGAGGAAATCAATATTGGTGAACTATTGATACCGTCAGTTCCTCCATCTTCTTCTTCTGAGGATTTCTCCTCCAATCCAGCAGCTCCAGGTTGAACATGTGGATCCAGGATGAGGAAATAAAGAGTTGATCCGGTGTTGGATGTTCAGGTCAGCCTGTGATTAAATGTGACTGAATCCTCAGAGACGTTCAGTAAAGATGTTCAGAATAAACAACTAAAGAATCAGAGAATCTGAATCAGAGAAACTCTGACATTTGATCCAAACTGACCATAAAGGCCTTTTTCCATCCAGACTCATTTCCAGCCAATGATTCTCCTCTGATATCAGTTTTCCTTGTTTCCAGGCAGATTGTGTCTCTTCACAGGTTTCAGGTTCAGCTGCAGAGTTTCAGTCACTAAAACTGACTTTGTTCCTTTGAGCAAATTAAACTTCAGATCAACTAAACTGAACTGGAAAAGATTTGATTCTGTTTATGGTTGTGACATGATCTATCATTTATATCTGATTAAACAATATTAATATGTATTAATGTGCAGATTATTGTGGCCCAAACTGAGGCTCAGGCTCAATTTATGGCTCTTGAAATGATTTTGTTTATTCAAGGATGGTTTAAATCTGCTGCAGTAACTCAGGGATTACATGATTTCAAAAATAAAAATAAAAAATCTCTGAAAACTAGAATAACATAAAACTCTCTGAGAAAAGATGAAACTGTGAACTGGATGAATTAATTTTAGAGTTTTGATCGACTGCTGACAAAATAAGGACCTAAAAGTGTAAATGAATATTTTTATAAGTAGATTCTCATTTTCATGATAAAATTTGCAAAATGTCAGAAAAACTCAGAAACAAACAATGAAAGAATACATATTTATTTGTTTACAGCTGTTAATCTAAACATTTCTGTACAACATTTATACTTCATAAGACATTAAAAGAATAAAAACTAAAAAGAAAACAAGCAGCAGATTTTATTAGAACGTTTTAACGACGACATTCAAAACTTAAAGCTTCTTTAAAAAGAGATAATTAAATAAAATGAGCATGGAACCTCATTTAATCAGAACAAATCTGGTCATATTTACTGCAGTTCTTGGAAGAATAAATTATATTTCAGATCTGAAATTCCTGCATATTCTATATTCCTCTATGTTTTACTGTATCTATTCTACTGTGTATAAATCTGGGAATAAAAGATATAAAAATACTCTGCAGCCAATAATCACACTTCAGAAAAAAGCAATAAGGATATTTAATAGTCAGATTAAAAACACACTCTTTACAAAATCATGTACATGAAATAAACCCAGCAGATAATGTTCACATAATGCAAAAATATTCAAAAATAATCCCCAGAAGAGAAGGAGGGAGTAATTTAAAGTTAGATATGAATAAAATAAGAACAACATTGAAATGCATGTGAACATCAACCTTTGTGAAACTTCAACTAAAGAAAGGAAACAATAATATATTTATATAACAATATAATCAAAGTTATATAAATATAACTACTTTTAATAAAATAATATGGTATATATTACTCTTAGTTTATATTTACATGTTTATATTGAAGAACAATAACAATGTGAATTTTTTCTCACGTCTTTCGAACAAATTCAGTAAAATTGTTGATTCTTAAGCTGCAAAAATGTTTTTTTTTTAATTCATAAATGTTTGATAAATGTGTTTCTGCTTCTTTAGATTGATTTGTTCAAAATAAAGAAATTCACATTCAGAGCATGAAGATATAAACTGTAACAGCTGAAGAAACCAATGTTGGGTCAACTGGAGCAGTGATCCCAACCCTGGTCCTCAGAGCCCAAAGTCCTGCAGGCTTTAGGACTTTCCCTGTAGCCACATGAATGATTGAGTGATTAAAATCCTCTGCAGAACCTGATGGGCTGCAGAGGAGCTCATGCAACCATTGCAATCAAGTGTTAGAGCAAAGTCACATTCACATCATGGAGGATGTTGCGCTCTGAGGATGAAGGTTGGGGATCTGGACCAGAACGATCCACAAGCCTCACTGAGTTTGGTTCTTCTTGAAGGTCTGGAGATCCGTTCATCTTCTGCTTCCTTAAATAGAAACCAAGAACCAAACCAATAATCAGTGCAACGATCAGTAGGCCTCCAATCATCGGTCCAATATTTTGTTTTTGCTTCCATCTTCTTTTCTTTCCTCCTTGTTTTCTGAAAAACAGAATCAGAGCTGAAGGTCAGAATCCATTTCTCTTCATCTGCTGCTCTCAGACCAGCTGCTTTCTGCAGCAGCTTTAGGAAACACAATCATCTGGTCAGAACCAGAACCACATCTGGCCTTAAAGGGATATTCCCCCTCAGATTAGCCACAGCCACACAGAGACTCTAAAGACATTTTCACCTGTAAGAAGATTCACTGATCTGAACATTAAAGCACTTTATGCAGCTTCCTTCTTTCACTGAAATATAGAAACCAGGAAAACTTACCTGTAGGAGGCGCTACATCCAGGAAGACAGTCCTGATGGGGTCAGAGGTCAAAGTGCGTCTCTTCCTGCCATTTGCTGCTCTCTCTCTCTGTAAAACTCGACACTCGTATTTTCCTGTGTCGCTGGTTTTCACGTTGCTCAGAAGCAAAGACACGTCTCCGTCCTCCATCCGTCTGTCCTGCAGATCCACCCGGTTAAAAGATGGATGCTGGTTCTCTGGATCCAGCTGCTCATCTCTGAACAGCAGAACATTTCTGGTTCCAGGTCCGGTCGGGTCCACTGCACAAACACAACAGGTTTGTTGTTGGGGAGTCGGCATGGCAGAGACTTTCTGTCCAGGAACAGCTGAGATGTTTTTATAAACTACAGGACAGAGAAAACAGAGCAGAAAGGTCAGAGGTCAAAGTGAACCGGTCCACTTCTACAGCAGCAGCAGAGACCAAGGAGAGACACTGGACTCTGACCTGGACTGGAACAACGGCTCTAACCAGGATTATTGATTATTACTGTATTAATTTAATTCCTCTCAGAAATGTAAACACTTCTTCTACTCTAACAGCATAAAGCCACAGGAGGATTATTATCTGTTATGGACATGATCATAAGAGGATTACATTCATAAGAAATGTATTTGCTCATTCCTTGCTGTTGTAACACGTGTAAAATGCAGCTCGGTATTGTCTTGATGTTACAAGCATTTATGTCCATAAAAATAGGAGGGACATAAATGATTGGACAACAAGCCACACCTGTTACAGATGTGGCAGTTACCCATAGCAGCATCACTAAGATGTGACCCTCATATAGTGTGGTCACATTTGGTTGTTTTAATTGTGATCTTAGTTCAGGATGTGACCCTGATTTAAACAGTAAGCGGAAAGTTTTGGAGCAATATAATGCAGTGGCACAAATGCACCACTAGGCGGCAGAAGTGTAACATTATGAAACTGACTGTGTTGCTGGGAAAAAGTTCCCCTCCAGATTAGATCTGCCACAACATCTTCTCCCATTGTTCACTCATTTCTCCTGTTAAAAATATGTTAGTTCAGTGCTAACCCGAAAGTAATGAACATGATTATTAACATCTGAGTGTCAGCGTTAGACGCCTGAGTGTTTGCTTTAGGAATCCCGTGTTTGGCTCTGTGCTGGACCTTCATAGTTTCCCAGCAGCATGGCAAGTGTGTCATGACATGTGTCCCCTGTGTCGTCGGTATAAATTCATTTGTGTTGTCACCAGAGGTGCCGGCAGGAATCTTGGGCCCCCATGACAAAAAAAATGAAAAAGACCCCGCGCAGTTGCTGTTACAATTTCTTCAGTCTAAATTTAAGCAAGTAGGTTGCTTAATTCTTTTAACCAATCTATTTGCTAATTAGTTTTTAAATTACTGAAAGGTCTCTCCCCATGAGCAACAGTCATAGATAACACACGATACATGACACAATCCAGACTTATCAAGAAATGCTATATGGTTGCATTTTGTTCAGTTTTCAAGCTGCAGTGTAACTTTGATAAAAAACATATTTTCTCCATATTTGTTAAAGCTGTCACCATGTTATGACAGTTTGTTATGAGATATAATCTGTGAAAAGATCAAATTACTTCACCTCCTCTCTGAACTACTGCAGCTGTCTAAAGTAATGCAACTTTCTGGACAAAAACAACCAATCAGAAGCAAGAGGAGGGTCTTAGCGCTGTCAATCAACATCATTCACTCACTGCTAAACGTACTAATGGCAGAGAAACAACTCATCATTACAGGAAAACTGTTCATCTGCCGTCATTGGTAGCTATGCTAACTAAACTGAGCATTCACAACAGGCGGTGCTTTCTGAGCACAGAGTGAGGGATGAGACA